GGTGTCCATATTAGAGAGGTGTCCATATTAGAGAGGTGTCCATATTAGAGAGGTGTCCATATTAGAGAGGTGTCCATATTAGAGAGGTGTCCATATTAGAGAGGTGTCCATATTAGAGAGGTGTCCATATTAGAGAGGTGTCGACATTAGAGAGGTGTCCATATTAGAGAGATGTCCCTATTAGAGAAGTGTCCATATTAGAGAGATGTCCATATTAGAGAGATGTCCATATTAGAGAGATGTCCATATTAGAGAGATGTCCATATTAGAGAGATGTCCATATTAGAGAGGTGTCCATATTAGAGAGGTGTCCATATTAGAGAGATGTCCACATTAGAGAGATTAAATAATAAAGTATTAGAGAGGTGTCCATATTAGAGAGGTTTCCATATTAGAGAGGTTTCGACATTAGAGAGATATCCACATTAGAGAGATGTCAACATTAGAGAGATTAAATAATGAAGTATTAGAGAGGTGTCCGTATTAGAGAGATTACCATATTAGAGAAAGGAGGCTGTATTAGAGTAGTGTCCATTTTAGAGAGATATCCACATTAGAGAGATTGTCAGACAGAGAAAAATAATAAAGTAAGGCACATAGGGCTCAATGTGTTAAAAGCACAAGCCCTTAATTGGTAGATTTTTGCCTTACAAGAACTTACAAACAGACTACACTTGTTGTAATTCTTGTTAGATTCTTTAACATTAGAGTTTAGGAAGAATTATGAATTAGATTGGACAACATGGAAAGGATGGTATACAAGACAGACATGAAATGGTGTTTTTGCTGACACCAATCTTCCTTTGTCTAATGGTCTCTAATGCACTGCAAAAAGTATATATATATTTATATGAAACAAAACATTAAGAACTTTTTTGTTTCCAGTCATTGCTGTGGTCAGGATCTCGAGAGATCAAACATGAATTGTCAGATTTCAACACAAGATTTACCTCTCTGGAAGATACATTTGCTGGGTTGGTATATACACTGTATATCATTATCATGAAAGAGTGATATTGGCCTCCTCCCTGAGGTCATGCAGGCACAGTCAGTGCAGGACAATTATTATATCAACTTGAAAGTTATAAAACAGATATCAGATCAGTTGTAATATACAACCCGAAATGGAATACATTAGTGTTGTATTGAACTGCCTCAAGATTTATTCAGGATTTAACCTATTTCACTTTAAATCTCATACCTAATAATAGACATAAAAAATTCTTTCAGCAATATTCTAGAAGGGATGCAATGGTGTGGTATGATTAAAGAACCAGGAATAAACTATAAACAATGTCCATATGAATGCGCAAACCAAAAAGCATTCTGGGGTGTAGCAGCCAAGAAGGTAAAAATAAGACTGGCTTTTAATCATGAACCAGAAATCATGGACATTCTGCTTCCTTACTAACTTACATATCATATTGATTTCATTGATACATAACCCATAAAAATATGGCTTCTGCAGTAAACAATGGATTATATTGTACAAATTGCTGTAAATCGCAAAATCAGAGAATATTGTAAGTTGTTCGCAATTTGCTTCAAATACAGGATAGGCAATAACTGAATTAAATCAGGGCCAAACTATACACCAGATACTTCAACATACTTTGTTTTGCAGTCAGTGATTGAGGCAAGTTGCAATTAACAACATACTTTATTCTCAGATTTTGCTGTTAACAACGTCACATTATGTAATTCACTGACATACAGGGTCTTAGCTAGAGGGCCGTGTTGGCCGTGTTATCGCGGCCAAAAGTGGAAAAACACGGCTAAATAAAATGAACGCGGCTTCATTATTTATTTATTTATATAAGGCCGCGTGTAGGTTCATAAAATAAGGTGCAACAGTACTTACAACAGACAGAATTTCTTCCAATTTACGTCGTAAGAAAGCTTGTAAAATCTACTGTTGTTATTGAAATTGGCAAAAGTGATCCGTGATGTTTTAATGTTTTGATGGATAATGGGAAGTGTATGGTGTTAAAATGGTTTTAAATACCCCCAAGAGTTGCTAAAATAACTTAATATTTTAATGTCAGCACGCAATATAAGCGTATGCTCGCCTTGTATTTGGTTGCAAAGCATAGAACAACCACAGGCATTGTCTGTTGTTGGCGAGCGTAACTAGAACCGTGAATTTGGTTATTCAAGGTAATTGACATGTGCACACCCTGGTCATTAGAAACACGCCCAAGATCTAAAATCCTAGCTAAGACCCTGCTGACATACAGTATAAACGTTGAGGCCATATTTCAACGTGATATGCAAATTACAAAGGAAGTATAGAATAAATCATGTCCATGATTTCTGGCCTAAAGTTTGTCCATCCAATGAAGTCTCATAACACAGAAAATAACATTGGCAGAAAAAAAGAGGGTTACGGTCAGAAAACTAGAACCACAGGATACCTTTTGTAACTACAGTAGGCCTAAAAATATATCATATATTCTGTTACAGATGGCAGAAAGATCTGAAGGCGTTGTTTATGCAGTCATTAATGGAACAAGACAACATTGGAAAGACAAACAGATATTTTCTGCTTATATGATGGACAGGTGAATGCCTAAACAGAGTTCATGGTTTCTGAACTACAATTCAAAACACCTCAAAGTTTTTTGACTAAGCATATACTTAGATTTATCAAGAAATTCCAACAAATTCTGATGAAAGGCCTAATTTACTTGTCCAAGTTTCTTATATACAGTTGCCATTTTCATTCTGCATCACCTTCAGTTGGTGTATGTTTGCAAATAAATGCCTCGGCATACCTCTCCGCCAACATGACAATAACATGGAATGCCACTTATAAAGCAGGCGTGTAGCACAGGGGTGTAGCAATTAAAGGCTATGTGCTTGGGGTGTCCACACCTTACCTTTGCAGACAAAGTGGGCCTGGTGTGACAGGGAGGTGGTTTGGGCATAGTTACAATATTTCACGCCCAACTTGTGCCAACAGACGTAATATTGGGGGTTAGACAACCCCCTCCCCCTCTTCGCTATCCCCCCTGACTTAAAGGGTTATTAAAGATGTAGCGATGCTACATACACTGGAGTCCATATGATATAATTTGAAGATTACTCACTGTTAGCGCTAGCTGCTACCAACTGAGAGTTAAAAGTAAAAACTTTAAAGACTATAGTCAGAACACCATGCTGTGTACGCAGGCATGCACACGTGACAAAACTAGAACTAAACGCAATTAATACTATTAAAATAAATAAAATGTTTATCTCTATATTCAAAACTAAAAACGACGTTTCTAAGATTGATAAAAGGTTGAAATAAACCACATTTTACCTCTAAAATTTTGCTTCCAAAATCCATATTTTCTTTCAAAAAAATATCCACGTTTTTCCAAATGGCACTTCAAAACTTCATGTTAGTGGAACGAAAGGACTGACTTCGAAATGCTCATTCCCCCCCCCCCCCTGTCGCAAACAAGGGGAAATTAGTCATGATAAGTCATGATAAAGAAAGAAACATTATCGCAGCAACATACGGCTAAACATTACACCGTTTTCATTTCCCTTAAAACGGGAAAATTTTTAATTTTCAGGCTAACAGTTTCATTCCACTCTATTCTATTTCATTCCATATTCCATTCGATTTCATTCTATTTTATTCCAACCATTATATATTCTATTCTATTCTATTCATTCTATACAATCTCATTCTATTCTATTCTATTATTAATATTATATTCTGTTCAACAAATTGTCAAATTGACACAACGCAACCCCAACTCAAAATCTTCGTATCAATCATTATAGTGATTTTCTTTCCAATTAGTTATATGGCCAGAAATCAAATACCAAATCTCAACCCTGACAAAGTGACAGAAGTGAGAATTTTAGTTGGACATTCTTTGCATAAAAAAGTGTTGTAAGTTGAACATCAAATGTTAAAACAAGTGTTGGAACGTAAAAACGCACAAGTTGCAGCAGACTTGTAGCAATGCTGTTCCAACAACTTGTCAACAGGATGTGTTCGCACTGCTTGTTCCCAGCTTGTTGACAAGTTGTCAACGGCTTGTTGACAACTTTCTATAAGGTTGTTGAGCTCAACGGACTTGTTACAAGTTGTTCCAACAACTTGTTATCGTCCTGCAATTCAACAATTTCTCAACAACTTGTGAGTACAGTAACAACCTTGTAGCAACTTGATAAAAATAAAATAACAGCATTGGTAGAACTTGTTGATAAGCTTGCTACAAGCCTGTTACGAGCATATCTTGTTGACAAATTGTGAGATCAGTTTTACGTGTGTATTCTTATTTTTCACAGGGAGAGATGTGGGACATTTTCAGTAAAAGCTCTACAGAAACAAATCGAATCGCGGGGAATAAAATCATCTTGTGTTGACGATCCTTTGTAAGTTTGCGAATTGCTTATTTACAAATCGTGTTGCTGTAATACACAGGGACGTCGCTACAGGGGGGTGTGGGGGTGTAACACTCCCCCTCCCCCCCCCCCAATAATTCAAAACGTTGGTCAAAGTTGGTCAAAATGGAACTAATATTTGAGTACTTAAAATTGAAGGTCAAAGTTGGTAAAATTTGGTCAAA